CCCCCCCTCCCTGGAACCTCCTCCTCCCACCCCCCAGCAGTAAATTCCTATTCAACCCTCAAGATCTAGTGCTATCACCCAAAACTTTCCTGAACCCCTCTTGCCTCCACCCCCAGCAGACTTAGTCACTTCCTCCCTCTCATGTCTACCTGGGTGGAGGCTTGGGGAGGGATGTGGCATCAGTAGATGCCCACTCCGTGTACGGGTGCAGCTAGGTTCAAGAGATGTTGAGATACCCTGCCTCTTCCTCTTTGAAGCCCAGAGCCTGGTGGGAAAGGAAGAAGAGGCGATCACAATACAGCAGGGAAGGGAGTACCTAGGGGGTAGCAGCAGGATCTGGGGGACCGCCTGAGGGAGCCTGGGAGGCTTCCTGCAGGAGGTGGCACTGTATCTTAGGGCTTTAAAATAGGATTTAGTTCAGTATCCTGCATATGCCACGGTACAACTCTGTGAATTAGGTGGAATGAAGGAATCTGCAATGAAGGAATCTGAGGCTCAAATGTTAAGTGACTCATTCAAGGTCATGCTGTAAGTGGTAGAGCCCAGATTTGAATCAGCATCTTTCTGGCTTAGGCTCAGAGATTTGCTATTACAGGTTCATTGACACCCATATTCAACAGTTATGTCCACCCCTTGTATTTGCAACGTACTGTTCTAAAGCTTTAGGAGCACAGGATGGAACCTGTAGATCTTTCTGCATCCCTTCTGCCCTGCCTCTGTGGCCCTTATCTTCTGCCAGGAATGTATTTCCCTCATCACTTCCCATCTAGACTTACTGCTTCCTCCCCTTAACCTTTCATCACTTCTCAACTTTTTTCCGCGACAGTATATCGTTTGCTTGTCTTATTCTCCCACCACCTAGATTATAAACCTTACTTTCAGGAAGCTTTTTGTGCATCTTTTTATCTTTTCCTTCTCCCCCCACCCCACTTCCAGTACCAGAGATAATAGAGCTACCACTGATTTCACCATCTGTTCCAAAGAGATGAAGACACTGGGCTTGGAGAAGTCAAGTGGCCTGCTCAAGGTCACACAGCTGGGAAGAAACAGGATTGGGATTTGAACCAGGTCCTTTCTCTGCTGTGCTTAGCACGCTGCTTTGTAGGCACTTAGTAACTGCCTATCTGATGGATGTCTGACTCGTGCAGAGTGACCCAGATTCCAGCCAGAGTCTTTTCTGAGTGCCTTGGGGGCTGGAAGAGGCTCGGCAGGCTGAATCACACCTGGAGAAACAAGGCCCAGGGCCCCTGCCCCAACTCTCGGGGTAGCATCTGAGTGTGGCTGGAATAGGGGGCAGAAGGCAGGCTGAGTACACTTATTCTAGACACAAAGCTGGAGGCGGAGACCCTGGCTGAGCAAAATCAAGGCTACCGCAGAGCTTCGCCCTGTGATAGCCTGAGGTTCTGTAGCCTGGCCGAGGGCCCCGCCGCAGCCCACCCCACCATTCCAGTCTCATCTCACATGGCTCCCAGCCACAGAGATTATTTGCGTGCATACACACACGCTATAGTGTCTCTAGCCTCAGGCCATTGTCTGTCTGCCTGGAATGTTGCTCTTTGCCCTACCCCCCTTGTCCACCTGCTCCTTCTTTTAGATTCCATTTTAGCCTCACCTCCTCCAGGAAGTCTTCCCTGAGAGCACAGCTGAGCTCAGACCCTTCCTCTGGTATGATGGGCTTAATCTCAGAAAGATGTAATGTGACCAACCATAGAATATCAGCAGGCTCCTTTGGGCTGCAAATAAGCTGGCCCAAACAATAAGAAGTATGAACTTTGCACGATGAGGTCATGAATCGGGCTGTTTGAGGGTTGGTAACTTAAAGGCTTGATGATGTCATCAAGGGCCCAGTCTTTCTCTTTGGCTCTGTGGAATGGCTGGGGCAGCTCCAGGCATTATGGGCA